GTATATTCTGTCCAGGTTTAGGGTGATCACTAGTGATTAGCCGCTTGTGGCCGAACTTCCCCGTATGGGAATTCCTGGATTGGTCTGTACGTTAACCATTAAAGGTGAAGCAGCTTCTCGGGTATTCAGCATAGCGTTTCTTCATTCACATGACGAAATTTCCACTACACTTCCCAGAGGACGCCACTTTACCAACACCACTCATGAGTAGTATTCAGTAGTAGCTCGTGGTGAAATCCTTTAATCGGTACCACGGTCCAATTTACATTTCGCCGTTTTTTTCTTTGTCCGAAGCTTTTCTAATGCAAACTACGTGAATTGTATTAGGCCGAATTCATGTATAGTATGTACATACAGACATATACACCAACGAGCAAACCTGCATTCACAAGTGTTGTGCATCTCAGTCCCTTAATGCCTTCTTATTATCGTGAGCCCCGGTCCGGATAACCGATTAATAGCCTGGTGCGCTTGGCCAAACCAGAAAAAAAGTCAATAAGCGTGAGAGCCGGCTGATCGATTGATCAGTGTCGTGTACAAGCGGATCGAATTAGTGGGAATAAGACCACAACTCATCTGTCAAGTACGAGTGAGGAACAACTAATGAAATCTGTCTTAACGAAAAGCGGTTATTTCATTGGCTGTTCAAAAGTTCCGTTACTTCCGAAGCCTGTTCTCCTAGTAAAACATTCTTCGTGAAATGCCTCATCTGGAGAAGTACCCACGCGGACTGCTCCTTCAACAGATCCGAAAATGGTTGTCCTAGGCACTTTTTGTTTGCTAATGGCAAGGTGCACATTCAGTGAAACGACAAACTTAAAGCAATTAGACTTGAGTTGTGAAATACGTTCGATTCATTTGACGACAAATTTGTGGAACTTGTGAGGTTCCTCCTAACTGGCTATTAAAATGCATTATTAGTCAGTTAAACCTCCGGAAATAGACAAGACCCCCTACTCGGATGACGGAATGTGCGGCACAAACCAGAATGATTTTAGATCTAGAACAAATACTCCGCTGTTTCTCATTTTGGCGAATTTCCTTAATGGCGCTTTTTGTTACACGCCCTAAACTTCACACATTACTCGAATATACTTTCCGATTCGAACTATCCTAATGATGAGGAAGACACATTGTTTGTTGTAAATCCTGAATGCGCGCTTACAAATGCGACAATGTCAAAACATCTATTTTTTAATTTGCGCTGAGGTTTTGTGAAAACCAGTGGCGTTGATTGCATCGAGCGCAAAGTAAGTCAGACTGGAACCATTGAAGAGTGTCACATGAGCCTCACTTAGTAGACCAATAAAATAATTTCCGAACCATCCTTCACCTTGCCACAACTTCTGGATTCGGTTGTCATTACTAAATCATAGAACCTACTCACAAAGTTGCCAGAAATTCTTCAGCAGCCCACGACCGGTTTCGCCCTTCTTGTTTTATACATGGATTTATACCGCTGTCAAGGCCATAGGACTGATAACTAACATTGTGAAGCCATGTTCCAACTACTGATTGCTTCTTAGTAACGACAGCTTCCGGATAAAATCTGATGAACTAGCAGCCAATCAATATAGCGTGAACCAAGTGCAAACGTCTGAGATGCAAGGACATTTGGATCGCGGGTTTTGCAGAAGAGTAAGTAATTCAATGCATTTTACTACCATTATCACTACTAGTGAGAGGAAGAAGGCAATCGCTGCGGAGTTATTTACAAGGAAATGCCAACTGACGGGTTACAGACCATTGAACAGGGATGCAAAACTCTAATTTGTATCTTACTTACAAAAACTGGACACCCATCTTCTCTCGAACGCGTCTTCTTGAATCTTCCTGAAGATTCGTTCACTCCAATCATTCCTCTCCCTTTTCAAAAGACTCAAAACCAAATCCTACGAACAACACATACTGATCGCGTGTCCCTCATCCGTAGTATCACCATTACACATCTCCACCATTTAAAGCTCGTGTGCATACCACTGACTTTCATTTATCTTCGTCAGGTCGCCTTCGGTAGCGGGTCTACTCGGCCGCTATTCGGGTGTATCATGCCACTTGCGAAGCTGTGTCTGGTTCACCATTTTCTATCCACGACCATCTTCAATGGTATAGACGTTCCCCCGGCAGTCAGTGACGACAAACGGGATTTGCCATCGGCCGCCTAGCTTCAACGACCACAGTCAACTCCTTCCAGCATTCTGGCGGTGCTTCCACTTGATCTTCATGCATATAGGGAATGTTATGACCTTCGTAATTGCCATATTCTGCCTGGTCCTTTCCTGAACGGCAGTCAAATTTTCTCGGGCTCATCTTCTTCCTTCCTCTAGCTCCTCCGGAGACAAGTGTGTTGCCGGCAACAACCCAATTTCCTGATCGACTGGAGGGCACGAATGTCGACCGTACATCAGCATAAGCGGGGGCTTGACTGTCGTTGGCTGTATGGAAGCCCAATAAACTAGCAACACCGTCGTCAAGTTCACTTTCCAGTTACCTCGTTTGGCCTTCAGCTACTCCTTGATCGTGCGATTTATACGTTTGGTTGGGCCATTTGTTTGAGGGTGGTATGGTGCCGTCCTCACCCGTCGGACACCCAGCTTCTGCAAACGATTCCTTAACTCTTCGCTCTCGAAACAAGGCCCTGATAGGAACATTTTTGGCACGTAATGGTTGGCCAGGATGTGATGCATTACCACTTCGCTGATTGTCGTCGCCCGCTGATTAGGCACGGCTGCAGCATCAATCCATCTCGACAGGTGTTCTATCATTATCACGATGTATTGATATTCCCACTGGTGTCACAGAAAGCAGCCCATGAGGTCAACTGACACGCAACTCGCCGATTTCTGAGACAGGAATGAATTCCATGGAATGGGTTGCCTCTGTCGTATCCGCGTTTATTATTTGGCAGCTCCCACAGACACCGCATAATTCATCAAATCACTTCTCATCCCGGGCCGGTGAGCCCTCTGTCGAAGTAAGTCGCACGTCTTGGTGCACCCTGTATGCGCCATTTCATAGCATTCGCCGATATGTCTCCGTCTCATGACGCGAGGTATCACCACAACAACCGAACCAATGGCGTTCCAGGAAGTTATTTCAGCTTCGTTCACCCTCAGCCGATCACAGTGGCTCTGGAACGTCTCTAATTCCTTGTCTCCTCCGTCCTCAATGTTCCTTCCATGCCACAAGGCGGCTGCAACCATTTGTAACACAAGATCCTGCCGTTGGAGTTGCACAACTTTGCGGGATCCAGTGTGACGATGACATCATTGACTCCAATCATGATCTTGGGGACCTAATCTTCAGCATCTGCTCTTGACAGCCAATCAGCGAAGTGGTTCTCCCTCCCTGGCACGTGCTGGATTGTGAAGTCGTACTTGTGCAACCAAAGTGTCTAGCGCGTGAGCTTTCCGCGAAGATCTCTGGTGGTCCTGATCTACTCAAAAGGTTGTGATGCGGTTCCACATGAAACGTTTGCCCAAAAAGATATGGCCTTCACTTATCCAGGGCCCAGACGATCGCTAAACCTTCCTTCTCAATTGTGAAATACTACTGTTCAGCGTTAGCCAGGATACGACTGACATATTTGATAACTCCATTCCTCTGCTTCAAGACCGCTATGATCCCGCAATCTCTGGCGTCCGTTGCAACAGTGAACATCTCTCCGACCATGGGCAGTTTGAGGGTCAATTGGTCGTCCTACATCCGCGCTATGACACGCTCAAAAGACGCATTTGCTTCTCCGGTTCAGTCGAATTTCCGATCCGGCCCGACCAAGTCGTACAGAGGTGCAGTGATCGTGTTGAAGTCCTTAACCCTCCGGCTGTGGCATGTTGCTCGTCCAAGAAACTGCTTTAAAGAATGCTTTGAATTGAGAATACCACAATACTTGATCTCCGCCAATATTTCGTCAGTGCGCTAACTTCACCGTGACCAAACGTATGACTCAGCGGTAACACCGAACTTCGTGCGAGCTGTGTCCTAGCCTCATTTATCCGCAGACCAGCCACTTGGTTCGCTGCAATCCAGCCCTCAAGTGTGTTCTATTTCCGAAATGCAGTACACAAGGATATCGTCCCCGTACATGGCAATATTCTGTAGTCCCTACGTTAAACCAAGCACTTAGCGCCGAAATGCGAATGATGCACCAGACAAACCAAACGGTATTCGTCAAAATTGATATTGGACTGCCCCAAACGTAGGCGCCGTTTTCTCTCGGTCCTCCGCCTTGCTAGGTAGTTGCCAGTATTCGGAGTGCAAGCCGAACACAGCGAAATATCGGAAATGCTGGGGGAATCGCAAATGTCCGCATTCGAAGGTAAAGCTACAACGCGATTTACGGTCAATTCATCCAAGTGCCGGAATGCTACGCAACAACTGTACTTTCCGTTCGCCCTCCATACAAGCACAACCAGGGAGTTGTACGCACTATTGGCCTCTGATTATGCAGTTATTTAAAACATCTTGGCTATTACTGAAGAGCCCGATTATGGCAAATATGAACATGCCGATTTCACATCGAAACACACAAGGATGTCATCTGATTAAACAGTTAGCACTAGATTTCCGTTCACTCCCAGCAAAGCGCGATACAACGACTGCTGAACGTCGGCAAAGAACGCGGCCGGGTCAGATCCAGGTGCCATTCTGACTGTCTTGAACCGCCTCATAGCCTCCAGCATGTCGGCCGACATGTCGATTTCCAATGCAAGGTCTTCCTTCGCGGCGGCCTAGTCCAACTCCCAATAGCATCGTCTGGCGGCATCCATGGGTTCATTAGTCCGGTCCCTGAGGAGGATCTCCAGCGTTGCGAACTTGCTCCAATCCGGCGGCATTCGCTGCCTCCTCGAAGTCGTCCGTGAAGGTCTGAAAATCCACATCTTCAAAAGGTTGTGGCCACGAAATCTTGATCCTTATCCTGGTCACCGCACCAACCAAAAGGAAGAAGGCCTTCCCTGCGGAGTAATTTATTACAGAATGCCAACTGACCAGTTGCAGACTATTGGACACAAAAGCAAACCTCTCATATGCATCTTAATTAGAAAAAGTAAGCATGCATCTTCCCTTAAACGCGTCTTGTCGAACTATTTTGGATATTCATTGGGAGTTGCTCAAGTCTAAGCAAATGGTACAAAGCAAGTCCACCGACTCCGCAAAGATCTCCATCGTCAAGCGAATTTACAGGAAGAGAGCATGTTACCCTCATGCCTTGGTTTCATTGGTATTCTCACCGTTACATCAGCAATCCATGAGTATATCAGAGGAAGAATGGTTTTATAAGTTGACTGGAACTTTCTTTTGATAAGTCGTCGCTCGTGGAGCCTGTCAAAATAATGTGACTATGTGAGTTGGTTTCTGTGATTGAAGGATGATTGGCGCTATATCCAGTGTAATCGGGAGCTAATCGCATTACTAATCAGAAGTTCTTGGTCCAACGTTTACCTGGTTGTTCCGTAGGCGAATTGAGGAAAGACAACGAGACTGATCTAGTGGAGGGTTTCCTCTAATCAACTGCAACAGACTATTTAAAAAACGGCTATGAAATTTTTCGCATCCGTGCTAAGGAGTTGGGCACAAAAAATTTCCTTTAAAAGCTTCAGCACATCGGAAGCTTCGGCATGCATAACATACCCTGATTCGACACACCGCACCGTCGAGTCAAAATAGGTCTTGAGATATCCATCTTCCGGATTCCAAAAGCCAGGTGAACTCGGGCATTTTTCGACCTGAAGCAGCACACTGCAATTTATGTTAGTAAAAAGAAGTCGATCAGCACAATACCAAATCAGCGGGATTGCCTGATCGGCCTTAATGTTTATATGTCTGAGTTTCTGAGGGGTAGATCACTTCAGTACATAAGACATGTCAAACGTGGCCCATTGAACCCGATGCTCGACGGTCGTACGACTAAGGGCTGACTCATCCACATCCGCAAGCAACGACTGGTAATCTGCACGAATCTCCACGAGAAAGCCAGCGCAACCGTTGACTTGTTGGCAGGATACTATGTCAAAAGCGGGGGAAATTATCACAAAACAGTGGTTAAAGGAATCACTGGATATCTGAAACTCCAAGTTACGTATTGACTGGTCATCAGATATACTAGCTAGGAGTTCGTGCATTGTTGAGTATTTGGGCATACGGACGCGCCGTAAGATAGAATTCTTATTTTAGCCTGAGCACATTTTGTGATTTACTTGTTGGTCACCTGTTGGTCACTTGTTGGCTCGCCCGGGTGTGCTCAATCATTTGTTGACACCAATCGGAGTGGATTAAACCTAATTCCAGTGTCAGTCGGGCATAGTTCGCACTTGTAACCTAGTTACGCAAATGAACACATAACCAAATGTTCGTGACTTATTTGGCGAAACCACGCCAATTATATAAGCTCCTTTCTGGCGAAACTCATAGCTTGTTCGTCGTTCGCTTTCGGTATGCCTAGCCAAGGACCCAAGGAAATGAAGAATGCCAAGAGTGCTCAGGCGGACACTAAATTTGCGCGCGTTCCGCTGTCATTAACATAGGAAGCATTATCACTGTGGAAGGTCAATACCTGCTGAAACCTTTGCAATCGATATTTTCTGGCTTGACTGAGAGATCAGCAACCAGATGATTAACAACTTGTAAAGTCACCTGATTCGGCAACGTCTCGACATATTTTCAGTGCTTGTAAAGGTCAAACAAAATGCATTTCACAGTTGCTTGTATCGGCATGTGTGCTGTGTCCGATTGTTTTAAAATGGTTCAATTTGCTCAGCCGCATTCACTTAAGTTCACATGTCTGACCCTCACAGCACTACAGTTGAACATAATCTGCTAAAATTCAAAGTGACAAAACTGCAGTTCTAAAACAGAACA